CCGATGGGAAATAGAAATGTTGATGTAATCTGTGTGATTTTGGAAAAGTTGACCAACAAAGTTATGTAATCACAATCTGAAAACATGATTAAGACACATTTTGCGTTAGTAACTCAACCGTTTTACATGAAAGCCAATAGTAAATAAGAGTAGTAAAAGTTGGACAAAGATTACCGTAACATAAAAACATAGCAATAGGCCTGTTGCTCAAACTGTTAGGGAATAAATAAAATGATATGAACTAAATAATTCTTTTTTAATTATGTACTTCACCACTACGACAGATTCTTAGCCTATGCATAGGATGCAACCAGAAACTCCCGATAAACTCCAGTGATCAGTGGATTATTGTCACATTTCTATTTCGTCGTCTTAGATTCCCCCCAATTCAGGTCTATTCCAACATGTATTATACGTTAACTGAGGCTTCTATTAGTCATATGCAACATAAATGACAACCATTTATGCAGAAACTATCATCTTCCTAATTATAATTATTAGTGCTATTTTTCTCGTGTCAAAATTATTTAGTCTTGTTCACTTAATACTCATTGTTTATCTTCACTTTTTACTTTTCCTTTGTTTTTTTCCTTCAAAAACTCACTCTAAAATTACTGTTACATTGGTTGCATATTTCTCGTGAGTTGTAGTTTTCAAATCCATCAGTATTTCGGAGTAGTAGCTAGAAGTATTTATTTATTTATTTGAACACATAAATTTTAGTACAAAAGGGGCACCGAATACGTACGCGGCACACAATTCACTTCGTTTGTGTGTGGGCTGTTATACTGCCCGGGTGCCCAGACCGAAGCAGGTGATTTTCTTAGGGGGTCACACACAGGGCCTTCGACTTAATGGTTTGATCCACAAGGCAATGGAGCAACGTCAGAAGATGCAATTCCATGTTAGCCAGTGACCAATGATTGGTTCATACGCCATTTGTTCCTTCAGAATACTGGAGCCTATATCCACCATTGGTTTGGAATCAGGGTTTTCCAACTCCTCTAGGTGGATCCTCCATATCCACCAACCCGGTTAAAGCGCCAGGTATTGGCTTTTCGTCCTCTCAATTTCGTAAACAATAGTAATGCCACGAGAAGGCAGTGAGTAGGACTTGCCTGGCAGTGATTGTATGCATGTGGCCATGTGAGAGTATTTGGAGAGGGAGAGATGACTCTCCCCACCCTTGGTCGTACCAGGGCATTTGGGGGTATTGCATCATTTACCAAACCACTGTCCTATACTTTGTTAACTTTTATTTGTCTTAGAACATCTTTCAACTTATTTCTAAAAAATGAACTCCAAATATTGCAAAACTTCCGCTTTCTCACTGAGTTGGATGCTTTTTTATGGTGGATATACGTTTGACCTATTAACCTCTCGTAAATGGCCTTCTCTCTTTTTGCTCACTTATGAAGAAAAAGTCTAACTTGTTTATAATTTATAGCATGTGACTACACAAATTGTGGTAATGTTTATTTCAACCTCGTCTATTTCTCTGCCTCTAATTCAAATTCCATACTTTGGTCAATAAATTTCAAGATTTTCTAAGGACTGATAATCATTTGAGCAACTAGTTCTTTCGAAGTTTTGCATGTATCATCGATGTACTTTTTCAATGATAGAACTAATCATTTTATCCATCTTTTGTTATTTTGATACACCATTTTGTATATGGCTGTCTATAGATTCATCTCATTCCGACATCTCACACTCATCCCAATCAGACGATAGTGGTGATGATGAAGGAGAAGATGATCGACCCCGTTACAAAGGTCCTGAACCACCTCCAAATCGTTATAATATATGGCCTGGTTTCCGTTGGGATGGTGTGGATCGTAGTAATGGCTTTGAAAAAAAAATAGTTGAAGATCAAACTCGCCGACGAGTTGAACGTGAAATAGCTCAACGCTGGGCAGTTGAAGATATGTAAAATTAATAACTTACATTATTATTGTTTGTAAAGTTTCTATTCATTGCACGATGTACAGATGTATTATGATATTATATTTTTTCACATTAGAGACTTTTAGTTCAGTCTTGTAAGTAAAGCGTTGTTTGGTGTGCCACACATAATCAGCCTTTCTGTGAAATCATGAACTGATGATTGTTCACTTTAAGTAACTTATTTTCTTATCAATCCTAGAAATATAATAGAATTCGTCACTTATTGAGCTTCAAATGGTTATTATCTATCAGTCTGATCTATTCTCTGAACTCATTGTTATGTAGTAACTTAATTACGCGATTCATAAGAACAGAAACAATGTCACAAAGTAGGCCATAGGGAAAATCGTACGGTATCTCCCTCTGAAATGAATACTTAACTCATCTCTAGCAGCTGAGAGGAAAAGAACAGTTAGTCTTTTTGCAACCTCATCTGTTGACGAAACGGTGCAAAACACATGTCTGTCAATAAGAGATTCATGGGTATTCTTGAGAATAAGACGCTATGGATCTCGGTCGTGAAGCGTCACAATCAACTTCACGCAATTGTTTTGAAAAATCAAGAAAGAGATTTTTTACATCATTTTTTCTGAATAGTTCTGTTTGAACTTTTGGAAGCTTTTGCATTTCTCAGCACCTGGTTAGTTATTATTTTTGTTATATCCGAGTGGAGATTAAATTACAGGTAACTCCCGAGGACTATTAATGATGAACTAATATTCTATAAATATTCTTATTGTATAATTATTCAACAATTACATTACGTATATTTATATTCCTCTTATTATAAGCTTTATTTTGACCTATAATTTATTATTATACGATTTACGGTTCTTAATCTATGCTCAGTCTATTATTCACTGTCCCCCTCGTGCACAGCCACTTTTTGGCTTATTTGTGTACAAATATTATTTCCTATTTTATGGTACGTTGCGGTCTGCGTGATTGATATATAAACCGGGTATGTCTGAAATAAACGATCTGCTCTGATTCGGAAGCTGGTATCTTGTTCTGGACTCAAGTGGAAGGGCTCGTAGGACATAGGACCAATAAGGACGCTAAACTGCCCACACCGGTTGAACGTCATTGGTTGGCCTAGTGTGAATATTCGTATAAGTCGTATTCGGATTGGTAGATAAATCGCGTGATAGCAAAACAGACATTCAAGGTCATAACAATTGGCGACTGGTGGAGAAACGCTTTGAACCCTCAACTTCAAGGTCATAACAATTTTATTCAAGTTAATGGGATTAGAGGTTAACGTCAACGTTTTGTTTGTTTCAGTATATGCCTCTAAATATTTTAGTGTTTTGTTTTCTTATTCAGTAAGTCAAAACAAACTCAGATGTAATAGGTCCTCTGAGCCTGGTTCATAACCTGTCATCGGGATTATTTCTCTTCTAGTGATCCAACAATGGTAGTATTTCTCGACCTTAAGGCGGCATTCGACTCTATTGATCGTGAGGTTCTATGGCAGTGTTTGTCACTGAAAGGAGTACCAAAAAAGTACATTAACCTTATAAAGGCTCTCTACTCGAACACAACTGGTAGAGTGAGAGCTTATGGCGAACTGTCATCAGAATTGATTACCTCAAGTGGTGTTCGTCAGGGCTGTCCACTCTCCCCATTCTTGTTCAACTTTGTCATTGACGTACTTTTAGAGATAACACTCTCCTCATCTAAATTTACAGGGGTTGAACTTCTACCAGGAGGTTCACTTGTTGACTTAGAATATGCTGATGACATAGTTTTATTTGGTGAAGACGCTGACAAAATGCAGAGTCTTCTGACCACTCTAAGCAACAATGCAAGCATGTTCGGGATGCGATTCTCTCCCTCGAAATGCAAAATGTTGCTTCAGGATTGGGTTACATCGACACCCGAACTAGTGATAGGGAGTGAAGTAGTTGAGCGTGTCGACCGCTTCACTTATCTTGGGAGTCTCATCAGCCCTTGTGGTCTGGTGTGTGACGAAATCTCAGCACGGATACAGAAGGCTCGACTAGCTCTTGCCAACTTGCGTCATTTATGGAGTAGGCGAGACATCCGTCTATCAACCAAAGGACGGGTTTACTGCGCAGCAGTTCGTTCCGTCCTACTTTATGGCAGCGAAACATGGCCGGTAAGAGTAGAGGATATCCGTAGGTTACTAGTATTTGATCATAGGTGTCTTCGAAACATTACTCATATATCATGGGACCATCGAGTAAGTAACACAGTTGTTAGGAAACGGGTACTAGGTAAGGATGGCAAATCAATTGATGAAGTAGTGAAACTTCATCAGTTGAGATGGCTGGGACACGTGTTACGTATGCCCAACGACCGACTGCCTCGACGTGCTATGTTCAGTGGTATAGGAGTAGGTTGGAAGAAAGCTAGGGACGGTCAAACCAAAACATGGCACAAGTCCATGAAGTCACTGACAAGTGGACTGAGCTATGTTGGTAGGTGTAGACTACCTGGTTGGGGACCGCGAGATGATAGCAACCGATGGTTAGAGACCCTGAATGACATGGCTCAAAATCGTTTGCGATGGCGCAGGTGCATCCACTCTTTGTGTTCTCCCAGATTCTAATCTTCTGAATTCTTCATGTCCCTTTTTTCCTCTTTCCAAATTTCTTTCACTGGATTATACTCTTTAAATAACATCTCCAAACCCTAATCTTCCCGATTACTCCTTATACTCTTATTACCTCTACCACTACGGGATTTGAATCGACAAGTGCATCTCTGTGCTAATGTGGTGTGGCAACTCGAACTGATGTACGTACGTACGAAGTTCTACTTTGTTACTGACTGAGTGATCCAATAAAGCACTCGGTTTTCAGTCGGCCTCGTGTTATATATTTTTAAGGAGTCGGGAAATATATCACTACCCTTCACAGTAAGATTCTGCCTCAAACTCAAATTTGTAAACATATATTCTTGCTTCCTGAGTTGATTACATCATTCACTTGTAGATGTCGATCTCATCTTTGTATTATTAGAACCCTACTGTCCTAGTTGACTAATCGTCTTTGGTGTTTGCTTATTTTTATTTTATAAAAGGCTTGTTACCTTTAAACACATTCATTTACTTAATGATTTGTTTAACTAAATAAACTAATATGAAATGTTACAATGCTTAGTCTTATGAAGGCAACCGAATTGTCAAAATTATTTAACACCATACAAATGATTAGCTTCTCGTAATCTGTTCCATGGACTTGTATGTATCTTTTTACCATCTGGCCAAGTATAAGTTTGTGCATACTCTGATTGTTCCATTTTATTCAATTCATACTGTTTGATAGGACCATATCCATCTAGTTTAATTTCTGAATGTGGATTAATTTGATAACCTGGTTTACACACACGTAATTGACCATGATTTGTTAAAACTTCTGATACACAATGACTTGGTTTTGTGAATGTTGAACGAGTTTCTGACTCACCAGGATACTTGATACATATTCCTGCTTGTTCCTGTGTTTTCGGGAAATGAAAGTAGGAGAGGATAAGGAAACTAGTTGATTTCAAGTTGACATTTTATACTACTAACACTGGAAAGTAGGTAGTCATATAAAAACTGGAACATTTTAATAAACTGTCATTCGATAAATTGTACGCTTAAGTGGGAATGCAAATTTTATCGTATGGAAACGTCATCTCAATAATCAACTAATTTGCTATAATAATCTTAACCTCGACAACAAAAACAGGAATTGGAACTAGTTGCAATGCAAGGGCTGATATCAACGGAAGCAACATTGAAAATCGAAGCTCATTGTACAGATTTTCGTCCAAGCTGTCGCATCGATAACCCAACAAGCATTGGAAATAAGGACGTTCAGGGATAGAGGTGTAGATGACTAAGGTCAGATCGAACAGTCTTCATTTTTAGCGCCATCCAACTATCAGTGAAACATTGGTGTGACCCCCTACGTCCTATTTGCCCACTTAACATGTTTACCTCCTATACGCTGACTAGTCAAAAAACTGAGGAATGACTAGGAAGCTTTGGTGGACAAATGTGTCTTAAGTATTTGTAACTCCGTCCTGGCGGTACTGTATAAAGCCTTGTTGATGCAATCTGATTGGGATGCACTCTATTATCGTAAACAGTGGTTGGAGTTGTTGGATGATGTGGTTCGGAAACGGACATAATAGTACGGACGTCCTCATTCTTTGTCTCCCCTTAGATTTCGAGGTTTAGAAATCATCATATACTTTTCTATTCTACGGATTCATTCTTTCTCAAATCATATTGTGTACGCGTAATGTTCTCCACTACCATTGACATCGCTGGTACTTTTACTATTATAAACATCCGCTTTGATAATTTCTGCTTGTGTTAATATGGGGTGTGTCAACTTGAACTAATGGATATATATCCCATATTCTATGTTACTTAGAACTGACCGACTCCACAACAACAGCTTGGTTTATTCAGTATCATACAGTTTTTAGAATGCAAAACTGAACAAATGTGTACCGAGTGTTTCTTCAACATCTTTGAAAAGTTTAATTAACGAATGTGTCTGGTCTTGTTTTGTTGATGACTGACTAAATTAACAAATGTTCAAGGAATTACCTGAACCGTTGATGGCCACTGAACTTCATTCTGCTTTGTTTCACAGCTTCTATTTGATTGGTCTGAAGCATCACAAGTTATTTGATTGTAATTGGGAATATTAAATCGTGGAGCAATACAAGGTCTTTTCTCTTGACTAAAATCAGGTTGATCTACCTGTAAGTATGCAAATTTTAATGTTTTCAGATGTATGAAATACAATCCACCATATGGGCAAAATAAATTAATGACAGATTTCATCCCTTTGTGAACATTGAACTCTGGCTTCCTCTATATGTTCAATAAACTAATGTATTATACCGCCATATGAGTCTACGGTGAAAAAGAGAGTGTTACTATTTGTGAATGTAACACTTAAACAGCTACTCTATCGATGAAAGATACTCACTTAGGAATGACATGATCTGTGGTGATAGTATAAATTATTACCGAAAATATGTATGATTTCTAACTGATTAGTGGAAATGTAAATGATAATTTGTCCTATCACAGTGGTCATTCGTTTCACAATCCGTTCTTTAGATAGAGTTTGAACCCGTCTATTGCACATTGTGAAGGTTATAGGTATTCAAGCCAATAATTTTCCAGTTTGTAATGTACCTATCCCTTCCTTTGTTAAGAAAGATGTTTGTGTTTAAGCTGATTATTCACATACATACACACTTTGTTCCAAGTGATTCTAATTTTTCGTCTACTCTTTACTGTAGAAACATTTGTTCATCTAATTACCATGTTTTTATATTCTTATCACTACTAGTACACTTGACATCTTACTACCGATTTGTACCTTCTACAATTCGTTACGTAATCTGTCCGAATTTTATCAATAACTGAGAAATTCAATAGTTGAATTCATGAATCCATTAAAGCTAGACCTCAATGGAAAACCTGAGAGCTCTGGATGACCGTGCAAATGGTGTGTATATTTTCAAGTATAGGGACTTGATGACTGATGTATAAACCAATAATAAGTAAACTGCCAAATTATATACTGATGAGATGTTCCTCCTACATGAGTGAAGTTAGTTCGTATAAAGTCATTAATGCTATGGCTTAGAGTTATAACAAGTTCATTATTTTTAGGCCTGTCATGACGCCTACTCTGCTGAAAATAAGTTCTTTACTTTGGTTTGGCTATGACTTTTTCAAACGATTTCTACGCCGTGATATTTCCAATATCTCGATTTATAGTATCAGAAGGCATAAAATGGATGGTTTTAGATACTTGGTGACTGTTTTTGCAGTTATCTATAGAAATGGAATTAAAGATCAAGTCGTACGAGAACTTTTAGAATTCTAAACGTTCACAACTAAAACATTTTTGATACGAAACCGAATAGCATGTTTATAGCTTTAGAAATATCGTGGTGTGTTTGTCAAGAACTTCTACGAAATAGCAGCACACTTATATAAGTTTTTGAGCAACTTTAAGTTTACGTGGACTAGGATTGCCTAAAAAACGTTCAACCGGATCAAAAACATGCTACACGACCTCCAGATGACTCCCAGATTGCCTGAACTACAGACGCAAGTGATCATCGTATAGGTATCGTCTTTAGTCAGTCTGATAGAGTGGTGGAATATACGAGTCGCGTTCTCACATCCGCTGGACAGAAGTATTCAACGATCGAAAAGGAGTGTTTAGCAATCTTGCGGGCAGTAGACAAATAGAGACCGTGCCTTTTAGGTAGACAATTTCACATTGAGACTGACCATAAACCCCTGCAGTGCCTGAAAGCAGCATGGGATCCCCGTGGGAAGTTGGTGCGATGGATGATATGTCGGCAAGAGTACGACCATCGGCCATGTTTCAGGAAAAGAAAACGTAATGGCGGGCTACTTGTCAAGACCAGACATGGATGCTGAGCTTCCATTGACAGCATACCCATTGAATAGTTTAGAGAGAGACACATGAGAACCCGTCCGGCAGCAGAAAGCTGACCTTAAGCATCCAGTAGTAATCAGAGTGATAAAAGTGGGAGCAGACGAACAGTGAAGAAGGAGGTAATAAATTTGCTTCGGCAAAAGGAAAGACTGAGAGTGAACATATATGGAGCTTTGATCTGGCAGGACGATGACAAAAATTTGGTGGCTGTGATCGCAAAAGACTGGCGGCGTAAGATGATACATGAATGTCACCAGGTAGCGCATACGACCGTCGCAAGAACGATGAATTTAATACGGCAAAGTGCATACCGGCCAGGCATGAGAGACGATGAGGCCCAAAACGTGTTAACTTGCCAGTAGTGCCAACTAATGAAAAGCGATCGATACACACAACTGCCATTACAGTCGATCGCAGTAACCGCAGTCGGTGATCTATGGTCGGTGGATGTGATGAGACCGTTTCCACAGACGGCGAGCGGTAACCAGTACCTACTACTGGTGACGGAATATGCTGCACGGTGGGTGGACGCCATACCAATTGCAGAACAGCGGGAAAAACTGATAGCGAGTTAGTTTTCTACGGGATGGGGACGCTAACCCCATGCCCAACCCTCCTCCTCTACCCGGCCTTGGGACCGGCAGTAACTCTGGAAGAGCTACAGGCGGAGTTGGGCAAAAACTGACCGAAGTAGTAATCTGGCATATTGTAGTGTGTTACGGAATACCAAAGATGATATTACCCGACCAGGGTCCCTGTTTTGAAATTGACGAGTTCAAAATTCGTCTAAAGCAGTTTGGCATCAAGAGGATACGAACTACATCGTATCACCTTCAGACGAACGGGCTTACAGAGAGAAACAACCGGACGTTAAAGGGATGGTTAGCATCTAAAGGAGGAAATCGGAAGAAAGAGTTATCATTGATTTTGCTGGCGCATCGTGCCTTCATACAGTGAATAGCCAAAAAATCACCTTTCCTGCTTATGTATGGTTAGACAGGCACGACTTCCAATACATAATAATACATGGCCACAACAAGAGAAATGGGCGACAACAAGGTTAAGAAAAGAGAGGAGGGAGGCAATAAGGAACGTGAAAGAGAAATAAATATTAGACGTAAAGAAGGCGAAACAGCAGAGGAGAACGTAGAAATATTTTGCGGTGGGGGGCCTGGTAAACTGTAGCGAACGGAAAAGTAACGTAGCAAGAGGATCAAGGTCAGGAAAGCTGATCCCAAAGTGGGAAGGACCGTACATCGTCACAGAGGGACATGGCTCGGTTTACCGGATCCGGAGAGAATACAAGCAGAATCGCGTAAATGCAAGTCAACTGTAGAGATAGTTGCAAGATCATCATGATTGCGAGTCACGAACAGCATCAAAGACTGCGAGAACACCATAATAAAAGGGGGGACGAGTGTGGCGTGTGCTACTTATATCGACATAAGTAGTATAGAGTGCTAGTCAGGAATATAATAAGTGGCAGCAAAAGATTGAAAAGATCAATAAGGGAAGAACAGGAACAGAAAGCAATTGGTACAGAAATACAGGAACAATAAAGTCTGACACAATTAATGAACATTTTGCAAGTAACTGTAATTTTATGCATTTCATCTCACAACTTTATTCTTAAACAGTACAAATGTATCCAGACAACTTTGAACGTGGGAGTTCTCTCATTCACGACTAAAGAGAAAATCGAACATATACCAAACTATCTTGAATTGTGTGATGGATTTTAGTTTTGTTTTCTTTACCGAATATAGGTTCGTACACTTACATTCGGGTCAACCTAGTTTTGTCAGCAATAATGATAGTATCCACCTGATCACATAACAGAGTAGTTCGAACTTCTGACTGACTAAATGAGTTCCGAACCTTTTAGATAATAAAGTACACTTTAATATCAGATGGGTTTTTGTGAAGATTGTAGTAATTTCAATGGTTAATATCATGAGTCAATTGAAACTAGACCACCCTGGAAAACCTGGAAGCACTAGACGACCGTTTCGTCCTATTGTGGAACTCCTCAGAAGGTTGTGGATGTGCACTAAACAATCAATTTGTTTAAATACAAAGAAAGTAATTAACTTAAAATGATCAATCATAGCAACTAATTCATATTTACTTGTGTATATTTAGTAGAACTGATACAATTTAAATTATTTCTATAACCAATTAATCTATCTGTAACATTCAATTGTTTATTTATCATTTCTATTTGTTGACATGCTACTTCATAGAATGATTCTAATTTTTGTTCAAATAAATTCAATTTTTCATAAATTTTATATAATTCGAATTGAATCTAGAAGAAAAAAAAATGGATGAAAACGAAAAGAAAAAGAAAAAGAAGAAGTAGGTTTTATTTCTTCAAAGAAGAGTTCATATTACTGTTATAACTTGTGATTGCCGATAGAGAGTGCAGTGACTTGTCGATCGGACCAAAGATGCGTAAACCCATATGAGCAGTTTAGAGTCTTGATTGGCTCTGCTTTCCGCCTAGCTCAATCAGTCAAGTCTAGAACACCAATTCTAGCCTCTGTAATATGAATCATTATATTTCAAACATACTGAGTTTATATACCAACCAAGCAAACCACAACGTACCAATAAAATATGAAACAACATTTGTACAAGAATTAGCCAGATGCGGCTGTGAATAAGGGAGGTAGTAATTAATATACTGGGTATAATTCATGAATGGTAAAACGTATAATAACAGTTCATAAGTCAAAATAAAGCTTATAATAAGACGAATATGAATATGAATAGTTTAGTTACCTAATAATTATACGATAGAAATATACGTTTGGTATTAGTCCATAAAAGGATCCCAAAGTTACCATTCATTATATTTATCGGAACCTAACAATTACTTATCAGACAAGGTTGCTTATTGTCTCCCTTTCCCTTTCTTTTATTTGTCGACTGAATTATGAAGACGTTGATATGTGAGAGGAAACACGGAATACAATAGTCAGTTTGGAATCAATCCAAAGATTTGTACTTCGCAGATGATTTAACTTTTCTATCTCATACACATGAACAAATGCAGATGAACACAGTTAGTTTAGCACTAGTCTCTGCATCAGTACGCCTCAATATACTCAAAGGGAAGAGCTAAATCCTCAGATACAACATGGGGAACACCAACTCAACCACAATTGATAGAGAAACTTTTGAACTGGTGGAATCTTTTACGTACTTGGTCAGTGGTATCATCGGTGAACGAGGAAGATCTGATGCAGATGAGAAGATACAGATTAGC